CTAACGTTTAGCATGTTTAGTTGACATAAAATGTCTCATTGTAAACCAATTGTACTTGTAGCTGGTGTCTGAAACCAAAATTTTCTCGATTCGCACATTACCATAATGAGAATGTTGTTTATCTTTGGATTCATACTGTTCAAAACTGTACGTTATTTTCTTTATAATTAGTTTCAAATAAATAAGCCTTAATATATATAGTTCTTTATTACTATTTGAAGTTCACAAGAAAGGCTCTGTCATTCTAAAATATTTACAACACAGTCTAAGTTTAGTTCATGTACTGAAATACTTTAATTTCTCCTGAATGAATTAATCCAACCCACAGTCTTCCTTCACTGTTCAATCCAGTAGAATTATCTATTCCGCAATTGTCCACACATCCAAGGAACTGTCCATCCTGATCTAGGATGTGTAGAAAGTTATCATTTACATCTGCCACAATGATCAGATTCTTGGAGTCTGTCACTATTTTTCCAGGACTAATTGGCTTCTCTCTCCTGGACTGTGTACCATCATATCGGAATCTAACTCTTTCTGTCTTGTCCATCACAATCACGATCCTAGCATTAAGATCACAGATGTCTTCATTGTTGTTCTCTGCCAGATATTTTGGATAATTTCCTTCTTCAAAGATTAGATTTCTATGTTCATCTTTATAAAGTTCCTGTTTCAGTATTTCCCCCTGCTGATAACGTAGTATTTTGATTTGTCTCTTACTATATACACTGACCATTATGTCCCCTGACCTTGTACAGCACAGTCCATACGGTGTCTAACCACATGGTGTGGTGATCAGTACCTCTGACCTTCCACTTCTGACAATGTTCACTGTATTATTGATAAAATTGCTGTATATCAGTTCTCCTTGTCTGGTCACAGATATGTCATCAGGACAGTGTTGACTTGTCGTGGGAACAGATTCCTGAAAGGACCCATGTATGTCAACACGCGTTATAACTCTGCCTCTACCACTAGCCCAAGCGTCATCTGTTCCTACACAGGCCACTCTCCATAGAGGTTTAACTCTAGTAGGAATGGTGGCAATCACTCTGGCTTTGTCTAATAACTCTGTCATAGATAAATGGGAGACTTCATCTGTCAGATTGGATAATGCTGACTGTGTTAATGTAGCCTTGTATTCTCCTAACGCTATGCTGACTTCGCTCCCTTTTCAGTGAAGGAATTTTGACATCAATATCAGCAGGTGTGTCTCTGTATTCTGTTAGTTTGGATTTGTAGTTGTTGACATCAGACACTTTGCTGGTCTTCAAGATTTCTTTGTTTTGTTCAACAGTTTGCATCATATCTGGAATAAGATTTTTAAACTTGGATTGATGGGATTTTAGAGGAGTGAGATAGTTTTCCTTTGTGGACTTAATCAATGAGCTAACTTTGTTGAAGATGTTATCTACTTCTTGGTGCCATAGTATTCTGTATTTTACTGCTTCTTTTCAAGTTCATCAAACTTTGCTGTAGATGTTAAGATTCTCCCCGCTATGTTGTCCATTTTCTTCTTGTACTTTGGAATAATGGATTCAATTTCTTGGTTTTCTTTCACAATTTCCCTTTTCTTTTCATTGAAAATCTCTTGCATTTTCACAAGCTTGTGTCCACTATGGGAGCTGAGAATGCATTTCAGACAGACATGGACATCACACTATTGGTAGTAGGACTCACATCTCTGGTTGGAGTGAACCATACACTCAGAAAACACTGGCTGTATCTTTCTGTTGGTAAAATGAACAATGTCATGTGTTTGGGACTTGAATTTGTCCACATGTTTACTGACACAGTCCACACATAAACTGACTTGACAGTTGTTACAGAACTGCTGAGTATGCTTAAGACAAAGGTCACAGGTTATGACCTCCTGAGGAAGAGGGAGTGGCCATTTTCTTGCTACGGATCGGAACTGAGAAAGCATTTTTGAAAACAGTTCTAGATAAAAGTCACATTTAGTAGATGTAAATATATAAAACAACTATTTTAAACATCGACTACTTCAACTTTTTAAACCGCTTTGTAGAACATTTGAAATGTTAGAATTGTTTCGATCTATACTGTATAGATTTACAAAAGAAACAATTTCTATAATTTTGAAAGGGATAACAATTATTAAGTTGACTTACAGATTGTTTTAGCTTTTTATAAAGATTAAATGTATAGAAAATCTGTATTGAATTACCTTTGTAGTTCCAACCTTTTAAGACGACATGTAACTGTTATGAAAGAATAAACATTTTATCTCCCCACCCTACTATTCACTTGACTGAAAACCACTTTTGCTCTAACATTTATACTTCCTGGTTACCTATCAGTTTATTGAGTATGTACTCTCATTGTAATTAGTGATTTGTGGAATGAATAGAGCTATTGAAAAATTTGAATGGCAATTATCAAACAGAGTCTCTTTGTATATACTGGGTATTCTACTACGATTATTGCCCAGATCAAAGAAATGTCGCAGACATTATTCTCCAATAAATCACGAAGGTCATGAAAAAATTATCAATCAGAAACACTTTTTGAACCTGTACAGTTGAAATGAATATTTAACTATAGAATGAAATACTTAAGCTTATTTAGACCACATCGATGTGCTGTCTTTCACAGTCTTAAAACTGTATATTGCATAAAGTAGCCGATGAATGAACACAGCTAAGCGGGACTGTTCCTCGGTCTCGAAATGTTGTTAAAAATACAAAATATCTCGGCTAATTTTATCATCATTTCTCCTCCTCGGAGGTTATCCTGCAACATTCAAGAAATCGCAGACTTAATTTCTTAATTTGATGCTATGTTTATGAATTAGAATTTCTCTCATTCTTAAAAGGAAAAGATGTTGAAATATTGAAAATCATGTCTTTGATCTGAAGTTGAGATGTCATTATTTATGGCATAATATGTCAAATATGAACGCCCTATCATATGTCATTCAGAAGTTTTCACCAAAGCTGCATATTTTTGTCCCCCGCTTTCGCGAAAGCGAGGGGACATTAAATCTCATTCGTCTGTCCGTCAGTCTGTTAGTCTGTCAGTCTGTCCGTCCGTCACAAAAACTTTAACCTTGCCCATAACTTTTGATGAAGTGGAGCTATGACATTCATATTTCACATGTGTATTCCCTGTGAGAAGACCTTTCTTTGGGTACCACCAAATATGACCTTTTGACCTTGACCTTTGAGTCCGGCTACTTTTAAACAAAAATTCCGAAATTTTACTTTGGCCATAACTTTTGCATGGTAGATACTAGGACTTTCATATTTCACATATGTATTTTTTGTGACAAGGCCTTTCATTGGATACCAACAACTTTGACCTATTGACCTTGGAGATTTCTGTACTTGTGAAAAAACATTAACCTTAGCCATTACTTTTGAACGGTAAGGGATAGGGCTTTCATACTTCACATAGGGAATCCTTGTGAGAAGACCTTTCATTGGATACAAAGAACTTCGACCCTTTGACCTTGGAGTTTAACTTACTTTTAAAAAGCAAACCTTGAACATAACTTTTAAAGGGTTAGGGCTACGGCTTTCAAGTTTCACATATCTAATCCTTTTGATAGGACCTTTCATTGAAGATCAAGAATGACCTTGACCTTTGAGTTTGACCTACTTTTAATATAAAATGTTAGGTAATGATATATATAATATGCATTTATATGGCACGCCAAATTCACAAAAATGAGTAAAGCATAGTTTCACAGTCAATAAACTAGGTTTATCGCTTGTAAACTATAGTTTACGGACTGTAAACTATAGTTAACAACGTTAATCTATATTTTACATCTGTAAACCATAGTTAACGCGATAATTTATGTTTCACAACCGTAAACTATACTTAACACCGAAAACAATCATGTGCGATTGCAAAACATAGATTATCTGATAAATACAGTTTCACGATTTGTAAACTATAGTTTACAAACCGTTAACTATAGTTAACGATCTGATAAATATAGTTTCACGATTTGTAAAACTATGATTAACAACTCTTAACTATAGTTTACGATTGTAAACTTTAGTTTACAAACGTGAATCTATGTTTATCAACAAAATCTATTGTTAACGCTTATTAAAGACAGATAAACTTAGATTATCATTCGTAAACTATAGTTAACAACCATTAAATATAGTTTTACAGATGAAAACTATACTTCACGAATCGTTAACTATAGTTTACGGTATGTAAACTATAGTTTACAGTCGATAAACCTAGTTTATCAATTGTGAAACTAGGTTTAGCTCATTTTTGTGAATTTGGCGTGCCATGCATTTAATTAAAGTTTAATCTTCGCTATGTTGCCATACGGGGTCATCAGTGTTTCACAAACACATCTTGTTCCTTATCTTGAGAAGTGATATGGTTTTCATATTTTTTGACATGTGCATTATCTGTGACAAGATATTTCCAAGCATGCTATGATTTCTGACATATTGACCTTGACCTTCACAAATGACATTTTTTTTAAAAAAAACCTACTTCAGTGATAATTTCTGAATGACATCTGAGAGGGCGTTCATATTTGAGACAATACGTCATAAAAATGACATCTCACCCACAAAGACACTGAAAGCGGGGAACCACAATTCTTTTTAAGAAATTAAGTCAATCACATACAGACACAAACTGATCTAACACCAGACATACAGTCAAACTTGTCTGATTTAACTCCTGACATACAGTCAAACTTGTCTGATCTTACACCTTTCACCGTGATATCCAATCTTTATTTTTTTTCACTTCCATTTTGCAATTTTCCTAATCACAACATTTTATATCTAAATGGAACTATAAGTGTATTTTTTGTGTATCACTACATCATGATTGAACAAATATGAAAAGAAATTTCTACAAAGAAGTGCATTTTATTCATGTTATTAAAGAAAAATATTTTGAAAATTGTATTTCTACCTTAAACGAAAAAAAAAATTCATTCATTTGTAAAACTCTATTTTTCTGTACGTTAATTGGATACAAAGACAACCGCCGTCCTATTGATACAGTAGAAGCTGCAGCCAATTCCTGTATGAATATCTTGGATTGGTTCTGGCAATACTTGGATTAAGTCTAAAGCTGTCAGTACTTGGGTAAAGTCTGAAGCTGGCAACATCTGGATAATAAGTCTTAAACTGGCAACACTTAAATTTAGTCAGATACCAGCATATAGAATGTATTACAAATACTTCGTTCAAAACATACTTGCAAATGGCCCTGTCATATAATATCCTGGAAACTAGTTCTTTCATTATTATGCAGAATAATGTGTTGCCAATAACATTTCATATAACATATACAATATTTTTTTTTTATTATATTGTTAAAATTATCTTTTTACAAACAGACTATGTTTATTCCATGTACTGAATCACTTTAATTTCTCCTGAATTAAATAATCCTACCCACAGCCTCCCCTCACTGTCCACACTCAATCCACTAGGTTTATCTAAACTACAATTATCTACACATCTCAGGAACTGTCCATCCTGATCAAGGATATGTAGACAGGCATTATAATAATCTGCCACAATGATCTGACTCATGGAGTCTGTCACTATTTCTCTAGGATCAAATGGCGTCTGTCTCCTGGCTGGTGTACCATCATATCGGAATCTAACTCTTCCTGTCTTGTCCATCACAATCACGACGTGAGCATTACATTCAGAGACACAGATGTCTCCATTGTTGTTCTCTGCCAGATACAATACACTATCTCCTTCTTTAAAGATTAGATTTCTATGTTCATCGATATAAAGAACTATATGCGGTATATTGCATATGTTTGCCCCCACAAAAGTCAAATTTTGAAAACTTCCTGATATGTGCTGAATTCAATAAATTGTACGAGAAATATAAGTTAACAGAAAATATTATAGTTCCAGAGCAGTGTATTCACAATTTCCGATTTTATGACGTCACAAACTAGTCCGATTTTATATCCTTTTTCAGAAAGAGGACAAAATGGACAAAATTTCAACAATTTAAGCTTTAAAATTTATAGAGCGCATGTGTGTTCAGGAACAATATTGACATATTTCATTGATATTATCATTCTACACATTATATCAAAATATTTATCCTGAACACACATGCGCTCGGTGACTTTTATTTAAAATATCGACGAAATATGTACATTTTTCTGCAAAATTCATAAAAAATGAAATTTACGTCATATTTGTGACGTCATTACGTACATATGACGTCATTACTTATGAAATTATTCAGTGCTTTGAAGTCAGCATATACTCTCCTGTTTAAGGACTTAATTAAATATTACTCCGTCAAAGTTTGATTTTGGGGGGCAAATGTTGGTTAATACCGCATATAGTTCTTTCCTGTCTCAGTATTTTCCCCTGATAACGCAGTATTTTGTTTTGATATTCACTAGACACATTGACCAGTATGTTCCCAGCCCTTGTACAGCACAGTCTTTCTGGTGCCCAGCCCTGTGGTGTGGTGATCAGTACCTCTGACCTTCCTCTTCTAACAATGTTCACTGTTTTACTGTCAGAATCAATGTAAATAAGTTCTCCCTGTTTGGTCATAGAAATGTCACCAGGACTGTATTGACTTGTGGTGGTAACAGATTCCTGTAGTGACCCATGTATGTCAACACATTTTATAACTTCGTCAATACCACTAGCCCAGACCTCATCTGTTCCTACACAGGCCACTTGACATAGAGGATCAACTCCAGTAGGAATGGTGGCTATCACTCTGGCTTTGTCTAATAACTCCTTCATAGACAAATAGGAGACTTTTGTCAGACTGGATAATGCTGTCTGTGTTAATGTAGCCTTGTATTCTCCTAATTCTATGTTTAGTTCTCTCCCTTGGACTGTACTTGTATTCAGTGAAGGAATTTTTACATCAATATCAGCTGGTATGTCTGTATTCCGTCAATTTAGATTTGTAGTTGTTGACATCAGACACTTTGTTAGTCTTCAAGATGTCTTTGTTTTGTTCAACAGTTTGCATCATATCTGGAATAAGATTTTTAAACTTTGATTTGTGAGATTTTAGAGAAGTGATAAAGTTTTCCTTTGTGGACTTGATCATGGAGCTAACTTTGTTGAAGATGTTATCTACTTCTTGGTGCCACAGTTTTCTGTGTTTTTCTGCTTCTTTTTCCATTTCATCAAACTTTGCTGTAGATATGGAGATTTTGCCTGCTATATTGTCCATTTTCTTCATGTACTTGGGAATAATGATGGATTCAATTTCTTTTTTTTTTCAATGTAATTTTTCTTTTCATTGAAAATATCTTGCATCTCCACAATATTGTGACTTTTATGGGAACTTAGAATGCATTTCAGACAGACATGGACATGACACTGTTTGCAGTGGGCCTCACATCTCTGGTTTGGGTGAACCTCACACTCAGGAAACACTGGCTGTACCTTTCTGTTGGTGAAATGAACAATGTTGTGTGTTTGAGACCTGAATCCGTCCACATGTTTACTGACACAGTCCACACATAAACTGACTTGACAGTTGTTACAGAACTGCTGAGTAGGCTTAGGACAAAGATCACATGTTATGACCTCCTGAGCCCAGGAAGTAGGAGTGGCCATTGTCCTGCTAAGGGTTGGAACTGAAGTAGCAATTTTAAAAAAGTTCTATATAAAAGTCAGTGTAGTAGATGTATGAAACGGCTAAATATTTTAAACATCAACTATTTCAATTTTGTAACCGCCTACGTACATTGTAGAACATTTGAAATGTTAGAGTTGTTTCTATATACTGTATAGATTTACAAAGAAACAATATCTGACTTTGAAAGGTTGACAATAATATCCGTGACTAAAGAATTGTTTTAACTTGATTTGTATAATGATAAAACTGTTTAGAAAATCTGTTACAGAATTGAATTACCTTTTTAGTTCCAATCTTTCAAGACTAACTGTTTGAAAAAAAAGAAGCAATTCATCTCTCCATGCTAATATTCACCTGACTGGGAAGTACTTTCGGTTTGATATTTATACTTCCTGGTTACCTGTCAGTTTAGTGAGCATGTGCAAACCCTTACCAAACTGATATGTTTGCTGCAGGCCTGCAGCAAGTCTGCTGCAAGCTTGCAGCAAACAAAATTGTTCGCAGGAAGAAAATTTTCTTGTTCGCAGATGATTGCCGCTAGCTGCGATCTTGCGGCAAACATTGCAGCAATTGCTGCAAGCTTGCAGCAAATTCGCAGGAACCCAACATGTTTGCAGGAACATTGCAAGAAACATAAACGCCAATTTAATGTTCGCAGCAAGTTAGCAGGAAACATTTCATTATTCGAATGTTAGCAGGAAGTTCGCAAGAACAGTAAACAAGTCAAATCAGCCAATGAATTGCAGATTGTATTGGGGTCAACACAGAAGTGGCCATTTTGAAATGTTTGTACAGAAGTTGTACACGTTTCAGTATTTTGTAAGGAATATACACCGTTTTGAATGATCAAAAGTTCCAAACTCTGGATGTACATGTGTAGGTGTTCATTGGCATCCATGATATCTAATTGGTAAGAAATGATTTTGATTTATTTTGAAATTTTAAAGAATATTTCTTAATAATTAAAAGCACGTTTGAGTTACTGGTGTAAAAGCTAGGTCAAATCTAAATCTATTTATAATGAATTTCAGTCCTCTTTTTAATATCACATATGCATACTTCTTAAATGTATTAATGGACCCAAATCAGTTAAATGTTTTCAAATTAATTAGTATACAACTGTAATCATGGTAATATTCAACATTAAAAATTATATGTAAATAAAGTTCTTAAAGTTCTGTTAATATAAAAAGCTATCATGCACTTTATTTTTTAAAAAAGTTTGAAAACTTGGTCTAGAAACATAAAAGTCAAAGGATCAAAATTTCATAAAATTGCATCATTTCAGAAACATGTGGTGGATTTTCTCTAAACTTAACAGATTTAGGTCAAGACAAAAGCTTTCTGCGAACTTGCTGCTTGTACACAGGAATGTGCCAAAACCATAAGGAAATTGTTTGCTGCAAGTTAGCAGCAAACATTGCCGAAAGCTTGCAGCAATGTTTGCCGCAGGCTTGCTGCAATGTTTGCCGCAAGCTTGCAGCAAGTTTCCTTATTTGGAAAATGTTTGCATGGTAAAATGTTTGCAGCAAGCTTGCTGCAGACTTGCCGCTAACTTGCTGCAAACACCAAGGCTTTGTATAGACTTCATGCTTTCTTTGGCTACATTGCCGCAAGCTTGCAGCAATGTCTGCTGCAAGCTTGCAGCAATGTTTGCTGCAGACCTGCAGCAAATATTTGCAGGAAGGCAATATTTTCGTTTAGGGAAGGGCTCTCTTTGTAATCAGTGATCTGTGGGATGGACAGAACTATTGCAAAATTTAAATGGCATTAATCAGACAGAGTGTTTTTTTCCTTGAATATACCGGGTATTTGAGGCTTGAATTGATAAATAATCATTTCTCTTATTCTTAAAAAAAGCTGTCGAAAAAAATCAAAATGTCATCTTACAGATCCTATTCAGAATTCATACATGCATTATATTATTCATATTACGGAGCTTCGTGGTTACAAATTTGTGCAAATTTGTGCATTTTCACCAGTATCACCAGAGGAATCTCAACAACACTTTAATCTTATATTCTTACTTCATGCTAGAGGAGAATCATATCTTTGTATTTAATAAAGGGCCATGCTTCCTTTCTTATTTAAATTGCATAATTATTATACAAAGTAAAATGAAGATAAATAAAGTTAAACCATGCTTTTTTAAACACCATCCAATAACAAAGAAGATTCCCAGAAGTAAAGCACTGAAAAGGTTCTTAACTGTCATGAAAAATCTTAAACTTCATATTTGTCTGTAAAAATAACTATGTTTATCTTTAGATATACTAGTATGTACATGATATAAGGTCTATCAAAGACCTTCTTAGTTGGAAATAACGAGCATACTAGAAGGGAAGAGAATTCTGGTCGACCAAAGAATGCCTGGAAAAAGATTGCTGAAAATTCAACAAGAGGCCCATGGGCCTTATAGGTCACCTGAGCATCATGCAACAACTTTCCAACAATTGAATTTGGTTCATGTTTTAAACCAGAGGCCATGAAATTCACCATTTTGAAAGAGGCACCATTACTTATCAAACTATACACTTACATGTAGCATGCTTACTTTTGGTTATTTAATACCAGAGGTAGATCAGAGTAATGAAGAGAAAATGCATTTCCACTTTATAACCAGTTATGCACCCCATCCCACAGGAACCACTGAATCTGGGACCACATATTTCAAAATTTTGGAATTTTTTTCAAAAATTTTATTTCATCAAACATGGTTGATTAATACTAATGAGCAGATTTCAAAGCATTTATTTACTTTTAGACTATGTAACATACTATATATATACATGTAGACTTTGAGTTTGCGATATTGCGGTACGTTTATTTGTTGTTTGTGTACTCTGATCCTTTCCCGTAAGGTACTTCCCGTCTCGCAAACAACAAATAAATGTACCGCAATATCGCAAACTCAAAGTCAGTGAACACTTAGACGTGTGCGGAAATAGAACTTTTACTGTCTTTCCATTTTATAAACTGCACAACTCTAACACAATCGAAAGACGTGATAAAGAAAGACATTTTATAAGGACTTTCAAACCTAAATTAAATAGTTTAATGTAAAAGAATTGTTTCTTTACATGTAAATTATGTTACTGAGTCACATTTATTGCTTTGTTATTGTATGCTTTGTTAATGCATTGTTCTGTGAAAGTACGGGAAAAATATGATGTCAATCAAAGACTTGTTAACGTTAAGTTATTATGACGTCACAATAGACATTACCATGAGTATTGTAAAACATCATGAAGAAGAAATGAAAATATTTACATTTGCAAATGTTTTCCTTTATATAACACTACTGAAAGCAATGTGTATCTATAACTGTATAAATACAGGTAGGGGGTCAAGAGGTCATGGATGTGCGTATAGATAATCGTTTGACGTAATTTCTCAGTGACGTCATAAAGGGTCGACTCGCGTTCAGTGGATAACATACATGCCGTTGGATTTGAAAAATAATGCATTTCACACGTTAAAAGTCACAATCAGGTAAATATAAAGTATGAATAAGTCACAAATGTAAATATAAGTAATAAGGTATCATTTTAAAACATCTATCGGGCTATAAATACGGGTTGGTATGAGATTAAATTCATCATAAAGCCCTTCGGGCTTTATGGAATTTAATCTCGTGACCAATCCGTATTTATATCCCGATAGATGTTTAAAAATGATACCTTATTTCTTAAGCGCTTATGTTTTACTCGTTCTCTGTGTTTTTATCTATTATAATAGTATATAGGTTCCTGCTTTGCAACTCTAGAACATAGGGAGATCTTTGCACTTACATTTGACACTGTGCAATGGGGGGGGGGGAGATTATGAAACATATTATTGTAGGTTGAAAGTATGTGTTCCTTCACAACTGAATGCAAGAGAGTGTCTTATAGGAATGTCAGACACCGTGGCCCAACTACACCTCAGCCCACTGGGCCCCATTGACATCTCGGCCTTACGACATCTAGGCTCCGACAGGTCAGCCAAATATTTAAGACAGGTCGGCCCATCTATAAGACACCTCAGCCCAAGCTTACATTCATTGAAAAAGATATTATATTTCAGATTTCAGATTCTGTGACTTTAAACTCATTAAAATATTTATTGAAAAAACTAAACAAAAAAAAGACTGAATTTTCTCTAATATTATAAAGAAATTTGCACAAGCATATAAACTATAATTAAGGAATGAGAAAACAAACAAATAGCCACAGCGCATTCTTTGGAGTGTAAAGTGTGTGTCATACTGGTGACTATGAGGGTTAATTATGAACAAGCTCCATCAAAAATTGTCTCCAACATTTCCTATAAAAACATTCATGAGTTTTAATGTTTTCAACTATATTGTACATGAAGAAAATTTATGTAGATAATTTTTTTTAATTCTCACATTAACCTCTCATGCCAAAAAAAAATCATGAAGGAAAGAATTGCTTCTACATGTTCTACGTAGTTTATGAAAAATACTAATATTACTTAGCATTTACATTGCACATTTCCAAATTCCACAAGAAAGAGATGCAAGAAATGATATTATACATTATAGGCCCATCCCCTTCCTAATTTGATTTTTAGAAAGAAAATTGTTTAATCGTCAGAAAGACTAATCTTATAATATTAAATGTCAGACACTAGATTAAGTTTTCCTATCACAAAATTTTGCTTGGGCCAAGATGACTTTTTAGTTTTATGTAGGTGGACATGTCAATATTTTTGGGCTGATCTTGTCAGGGCCGAGGTGTCAACCGCCTTGGGCCGAGGTGTCATTGAGCCGACATGTCGGTCTACCCCATGTAGCATTGCTACATGTATATGTTATTTTTCATTTGAAGACATCATGGCAGCTAGTGTAATGAGCAATGCTTGGGATTAAATGCCTTTTCTGAACTTAAAAAACTATATTCTCAATCAACAGAAATCTAAAAATCTTTTATAAGGAATATCTGTTTAATTATCCCACTGATCCATTGTAATAAAACCATTGACAAAGCAGCTGCATTTTGTAATGAAAAAATCCATATATGATCCCATAATAGTTAACAGACTTTAAAAAGAATTAAATACAAAAGGCTTTATAGTACCAATGATAATATTGTAATGAATGTAATATTATCTTAAAACGCCAAATATGGATGGAGCAAACAGAAATTCGGAAACATTTGTCAGTTAACTTTGTACATCCCCCATTTCAACATCCGATGAGAAATTCCGTCGCTTATAATCCTGAACACTACTCTGAAAAGTCTGCAGTACATGTTCACAGACACTGTTAAGGTCTTTAAGCCCTTTCTTCAATACTTCTGTCGCCTCCTCGCCATGTGTTTGTATTCTGAAGTTGATTTTGTTTTCTGAAGGATGAGGCACGCTGTATCCACAGAACTGGACTTCCGGGTTTTTCATGATCATGTAACGCAGGGAATTTCCTAATGTGTGGTCCTCGTTATGGAAAACAAATGTCTTACATGTTTCGTCTAATGATCCAGATGAATCTACTACTTCTAAACGTTTTTTGTTTGAATCGTTAGTTTCCATCTTTCTTTCTTTTTTTCAATCACACATGTGGGTATTTTCGTTTTGTATTTTAGTTACCCCGAACCCGATCGGATTTACGTTAAATAAACACTCCCAATATTAATAAACAATGAATATTAATAATAATTAATTTTATCACAATGTTCCAAAGTTTATAGAAGCCCCTGTATTTAATCTTTATTTGGTATTAGATATATATAATTGGTTTGATCTTTTCTGATAATATTTGTACAAACAAATCAATTAATTCAGACATCGACAGAAATCTGTAGGGATTCTTCGAACTTATTTTAACCTCTAACATTGCAAAATTCTTTGGCTTTGGTCAGAGACATATAAAACCTCTGCTTTGGTGCAGTGAAATGTAGAGATACTAAATACAAATCAAGTGCACAGCAAACAAAACCCACTAAAACATCAGGGGTAGGTTCAGGTGCAGTGTTGGAGAAAGCATCCCGGATGGTCACACCCGCTAAACTTTGCTTCTTATCATGATCTAGAAATGAGGGATATAAACAATTCATTGTATAAATACAGACATTAGAACGTAGAATGAAAAACATCAGTCAGCATTCGACTTAGATGGAATGATAATTAAATATTGATAGATTATCTCTTATAGATATAATACATATTAATATCTTATGTAATTATATTTTTTTAATCTACACAAGAAGCGACCTGTCAATCTCCATCCAGAGCTATCGATCCACTGATACCTCTGTCAACGTCTAAAAAAAATATGGAAAGCGAATAGGTACGTGATTTTTTTAAAATGTTGTTTAAAATTGCCCACAAAAAGATCTATACGCCTTAACTTTTTTTTATACATGTATATGGGCCAATTATACTAGTTGTTTGACCATTTTGATATTCATCGCAATGCGTTTAAAGAAATACGCACGCAAACTCTCGATTCCCGCCTACATTTTGCAATGATTTAATTCATTATAAATGGCAATTTGGCCATAAAATCTTAAGTTTGTTTAATACAAAGAACAGTTCAATGGTAATTGATGAATTGTCTTAATATCAACGATAAATAGGAAATTATCCATAACTCCTGCCCTTGAAAAAAGGGGAGTAGACGATATTTTCCATTGAAATAAGACTTTCAAGCATCACCATATTTTGAAATAGTCTTGGATATGATTAAATGTTTCTTATATCTTTTCTTATGTTTTAGACAAATAAATAATACAAATATGTTGATAAAATATAATGTTTTAGAAATCGCTTTGAAATTGGTGGAAAATAAGCAACTGTGTCTTCTTTTTTTTTTTTCTTTTTGTCTCTTTCATTTCATTTTATTCAGGTAAAAAATCACAGAATGTCATGATTCACATATTAAAACATTACAGTATAGCATACTACTAGAAAAAAAACACACTCATAATCTCAGCACTATGCTACTTAAAGAAGATCTAATTTAACATATAATGTAATTATTAAATAAATAGCATGACATACAGATGATAGATATTACCTAAGGATAGCCCATAAAAGCCTTTTTAAAAAGCTTATTTCCAATGGGGTCCTCAAATAACAGCCATGTTAGTAAACAAAAATAACAAAATTACATAAACAATGGAATTTAGGCAGGTACTTCTTTTATGAGTATAGCATAATGCTTTGTCAATAAACATATGCCCCCCCCCCCAGGTCACATAAAAAGCTTTGGTATGAATTTGTGAAATAACAGTTCATATTACCTGTGACAAGAAATTTTTGTGTCACGGGGGGAAAGATGTTTAAAATATATTTTCCGTTTTCCATTGATTTATATAGTGAAAAACACAAGTTTTACCCAAATTTTAGAGTAATCTCTCTTTGTTTTCCCAAATAAGTAATGTTTTATGAAAATCCATACAATTATCTATAAAAAATATTAAAAATTCACCGAATATGTTAAGTTTTAGAAATTGACTTGGAGGTAGACGGGAGAACAATGCTATCGTTCGCAGTTCTTTTCCACGTTCGTACATGTCATGTAATATCCTGCCGAAAATAACCCATTGTAAGGTATGGTGAAAAAGCGATATCTGTTTCTAAATCTCAGAAATAAATTTTCGTTTAATTATAAGTTGTTACGCAAGAATATAGAAGTTTTACATTGATAATTTATTATGCTGCAGGTAAAAGTAAGCTTTGCCAAGAATCTTGGCATTGAGATGTTGACAAATGAGTTGTAGCTAAGTGTAATACGCCCACTGCATGGTGAAAGATTGGCCACCTGTTTGAACTCTTTGACTTACACAAGAAGAAACCTGTTTTAGCCCTTTGGCTTACACGACAAGCAACCTGTTTAAGCTTTTTGACTGCACAAGAAGCAATTAATCTATTTGAACAATTGACAAAGCAACCTGTTTGAGTTCTTTGACTTATACAAAAAGCAACCTGTTTTGAGTTATTTGACTTACATAAGAAGCAACCTTTCTGAGTTCTTACATAAGAAGCAACCTTTCTGAGTTCTTTGACTTATATAAGAAGCATCCTGTTGAGTTATTTGTCTTTTACAAGAAGCAACCTGTTTGATTCATTCGACTTACACAGGAAGTAGCCTGTTTTGAGTTATTTGACTCCAACAAGAAGCAACCTTTTTGAGCTCTTCGAATCATATAAGAAGCATCCTGTTGACTGAGTTATTTTACGTTCACAAAAAGCAACATGTTTGAGTTATTCGACTTACACAAGAAACTTTTTGAACTCTTTCACTTTCATAAGAAGCAACCTACAGTTATTTGACTATCACCAGAAGCAACCTGTTTGAGCTCTTTGACTTACACAAGAAGTACTGTTAACCAACTTTTATTCGCGTGCGAGAAAATTCGCGAAGTTCCCGAGAGCCCCCTCAACGCAAATATTTCTCGCCGGTCTTTTAAGTCTATGTGCCTCATTAAAACAGATCCAAAATAGGCTTGACAACGAAAATTAATCATCGCAAAATAGTTAACGTATCCCTGGTAAATTGCGAAACAAAGTCGTCACAAATAAAACTTGATTAACTAAAGAGTAACCTGTTTGAGCTTACATGTACACTGTACACAAGAAAAATCCTGTTCGAGTTCCTTGACTTACACAAAAAGCAACCTGTTTTGAATTATTTTAACTTACACAAGAAGCAACCAGTTTGAGCTCTTTTACTTATACAAGACGCATCCTGTTGAGCTTTTTGACTTACACAAGAAGCAACCTGCTTGAGCTTTTTGACGTTAGTGTTACATATAAGAAACAATCTGGTTGAGCCATCTGTTATGGAACGCCATAGCTGCCGTATGTGGCTATTTTATATTATGCTGTGGTTATTTTATATTATGCTGTGGTTATTTTATATGAAGATGGTGCTCTTTTATATTATGCTGTGGTTATTTTATATTATGCTGTGGTTATTTTATATGAAGATGGTGCTCTTTTATATTATGCTGTGGTTATTTTATATGAAGATGGTGCTCTATTATATTATGCTGTGCTTATTTTATATGAAGATGGTGCTCTATTATGCTGTGGTTATTTTATACGAAGATGGTGCTCTTTTATATTATGCTGTGGTTTTTTAATATGGAGGTGGTGCTTTATTATATTGTGCTGTGGTTATTTCATGTGATGGTGTTTTTTTTTCAAATACATATATCATGTCAAGATATTCCTCATATTTTTGAAGATTAAATTCAATACTGAGTTTATCAGCTATTATCTCGAAATGTTGAAAGTAAAACAAATACTAGTACTAGTAATTGATGTAATTAAAATCATTCAAATACACTATGACTATCGCTAATTCCTCTTTTCTCCATCAGTTATGCACTTGTTTTCAGGTTGGTGTATTTTGTGTATTAATGTTTTCCTAGGTACATGTGTCTAAGATTAGCACGTTTCAAAAATGTCGTTTTACTGTTTATAGGTACGACATTTACCATTTTCGGGAAATCTAGAGAGATTTGTTGTCTCTGTCATTCCGGGACGCCTCAACATTCTACATATTTAAAATCGTCACTTCCATTGCTATCACTTGCAGTGCTAAATATCAAGAATTTTTTGTTTACTGCATATTTTATATGACAAGTTCAATTTGGTAGACGATTGAAGGGCGTTATTTAAGGATTATTAAATGTAGATTTCACCCGAAATTATGTCCGAAACTGGTAGGAAAAGTGTAGATATTGATTAAAATCAAGAGTGAACCGAGCCCAGCACCTAGTAAGGGCAAAATCTACATTTAAAAAATCCTTAAAAAATCCTATGTATTTGGAAAAAAAAAACACCATCACATGAAATAACCACAGCACAATATAATAAAGCACCACCTCCATATTAAAAAACCACAGCATAATATAAAAGAGCACCATCTTCGTATAAAATAACCACAGCATAATAGAGCACCATCTTCATATAAAATAAGCACAGCATAATATAATAGAGCACCATCTTCATATAAAATAACCACAGCATAATATAAAAGAGCACCATCTTCATATAAAACAACCACAGCATAATAGAGCACCATCTTCATATAGAATAACCACAGCATAAATTAAATATAAAATAACCACAGCGTAATATAAAAGAGCACCATCTTCGTATAAAATAACCACAGCATAATAGAGCACCATCTTCATATAAAATAAGCACAGCATAATATAATAGAGCACCACCTCCATATTAAAAAACCACAGCATAATATAAAAGAGCACCATCTTCATATAAAATAACCACAGCATAATATAAAATAAGCACAGCATAATATAATAGACCACCACCTTCATATAAAATAACCACAGCATAATATAAAAGAGCACCATCTTCATATAAAATAACCACAGCATAATATAAAAGAGCACCATCTTCATATAAAATAACCACAGCATAATATAAAATAAGCACAGCATAATATAAAATAGCCACATAAGGCAGCTATGGCGTTCCATAATCTGTGAAAGCTTGAAAGTGGTCATTCTCCTCAAACAAAGCCGTAAAATAATTGCTCAGACAATCACATAATAGTGATCTGTAGTCAATCCTATGAATACATCTTTTATGCATTCAATGACAGATACTAGTAGATAATAGATGAATTTCACGATTTATAGATTGTCAACTTCAGATTGAATGTAATTAAACGAAAGTAATAACTCTATAACAATTTAAGGTTGTTTATTGTTGTTAGGCATTTTTTTTTTACATATTTAATACAGGAACCGAAAACAACCGTAGAAGTATACATATAACTTTAAAATAAAGCTCACTTTAAATAAGAAAAATTATTTTCTCCCTCAATTAGAGTGAAAGGTTGTAAAATATAAAGGACTTTATGTTTATAAACACCGAGGCTAAGTTGAAAACTAGGTTGAACAATAACTTTTGTAAGAAGGCAAATGTAGAATTAAGTGCCTTTGCATAAATAAGCAGATTTAAGTACATGTACTTAAGTTATCAGACAATTTAAATCAAACTCTGCCGCAGAATTGAATTATTTGACAGAGACAAATTAAGGGAAATAAACAATTTTTTTCCCCAAATTAATACAGTGTACATTCCAGCCTAGAAACGTTTTGCTATAAGAATCACACTGAATGTATATTCTGACTTATATGGCACGCCAAATTCACAAAAATGAGATAAACATAGTTTCACATTCGATAAACTAGGTTTATCGGTTGTAAACTATAGTTTACGGACTGTAAACTATAGTTAACAACGTTAATCTATATTTTACATCCGTAAACCATAGTTAACGCGATAATCTATGTTTCACAACCGTAAACTATACCGAACACTGAAAACAATCATCTGCGATTGCAAAACATAGATTATCTGATAAATACAGTTTCACGATTTGTAAACTATAGTTTACAAACCGTTAACTATAGTTAACGATCTGATAAATATAGTTTCACGATTTGTGAAACTATGATTAACAACTCTTAAAGCCGCTTGGTCCGATTCTAATCGCTAAAAAAAGATATTCGTTTTTCTTCTTGAAAAATTATTGTTCATAAATTATTTCAACTTTTGTCAAATTATATCCCCAAAGTCTTTTTCTTTTTAAAGATATCAAAATTCAAAACTTACAAAAATAATTTTTGTTGGGTCACACAAAAAATAATCCTTTGTTTACATTGCGTGAAATCACCTTCGAAAAATTAAATTTATCGCTTACATGTATAACTCATGAAGAACAAACCCGAGCATTTTTTCCATGTAACAATGTGTACACGGGCAATATTCTAGCCCTCGTTACCCTTTTTAAAAAATCTTTAAAAATATCTGACTTTCCTTTATTCTGAAAATATGCATATTAATATAACAATTACTTTGGATTATATTCAGTTAATTTCTTAATTTGTAAAAGATATATCATGATTTAGGATTTTACTAATGGAAAAAAATACTCGGGTTTGAATTCTCTTCATAATTAGATATAACCGATAAAAGTATTTTGAAAAGGTGACTTCAAAACAGATCTTAACTTCCCGTCAGGAACTGCTGTTTGTCAACAAGGTTTTTGGTCTATGTTTTCCATGTAAGGATTGTTGTAATAAACTATTAAATCAATCTTATAATTAATTTTTATATATTATCTATGTAATGACATACTTTTATTGTTTAAGATAATATGTGCCTGTTTCGGATGAAGCGGCTTTAACTATAGTTTACGATTGTAAACTATAGTTTACAAACGTGAATCTATGTTTATCAACAAAATCTATTGTTAACGCTTATTACAGACAGATAAACTTTGATTATCATTTGTAAACTATAGTTAACAACCGTTAAATATAGTTTTACAGATGAAAACTATACTTAACGAATCGTTAACTATACTTAACGAATCGTTCTTTATAGTTTACGATTTGTAAACTATAGTTTACAGTCGATAAACCTAGTTTATCAATTGTGAAACTAGGTTTATCTCATTTTTGTGAATTTGGCGTGCCATAGACTTATGATAACCCTCATTCTCTCCTTTTTAGACCTGCATTACTTTGAAGGCATGCTTTCAGCAGTCCGGCAAACTGCCAAATATCTGAAAACCTTCACGTTTCCAGAATGATATTCCCCAATCCAAAGATTTTCATTTCCGTCAATGTCAAGATCAGATGGTATATTCATCATAGACCGTCCAAAACAACGGAGAAATGCCTCGTCTTCGTCCAAAATATGAACACAACTGTTCATGGCGTCTGTAACTAAATTTGTCCAAAACTGTCAGTGACTACAGATGTTGGTTTAAAGAAAAACGTTTGGGATATTTGATTCCCGCTATAAATAAATCTCAGAGTCCAAGACTTATTCACAACTACCAGACCTTTGGTACCGCCATTAACTACACAAATATTTTCGTTTCTGTTCTCCACTATGGCCTGGGGTATGAAGAACAACTGTTGGTCATCAAACTGTATCTTCTGTTTCGGTCTCGTTTTCACAAGGCAGACAACCCGAGCGTTCTTCTTATCTGAAGTAATCATAATGACTAAAATGTGACCAAGCCTGTTAACAAGAAAGTGAGGTGGGTTTCCAGTTTTTCCAAACGGTCACCTTTTTCCTTTTTCCCTTGTTCCACATTACGATGCTGTTTTCTCCCAAGTCACAGAAAAGTATGTTGCCTTGTCCACCCACGTGGATATCGCTTGGTGAATACCCGTCAATCACGTGTAAAGTTTCCAGCTTTTCGCCTTTGATATTGAATTTCGTCATAGTTCCGCGAACTTTACCTACCACCCAAATTACAAGCAACCTGTTTGAGCTCTTTGGCTTACATTACAAGCAACCTGTTTTAGCTCTTTGGCTAACATTACAAGCAACTTGTTTGAGCTCTTTGGTTTTCATTACAAGCAACCTGTTTAAGCTCTTTGGCTTACATTACAAGCAACCTGTTTCAGCTCTTTAGCTTAGATTACAAGCAACCTATTTGAGCTCTTTGGCTAACATTACAAGCAACCTGTTTGAGCTCTTTGGCCTACATTACATGCAACCTGTTTCAGCTCTTTGGCTTACATTACAAGCACCTGTTTCAGCTCTTTGGCCTACATTACATGCAACCTGTTTCAGCTCTTTGGCTTACATTACAAGCACCTGTTTAAGCTCTTTGGCTTACATTACATGCAATCTGTTTCAGCTCTTTGGCTTACATTACAAGCACCTGTTTAAGCTCTTTGGCTTACATTACATGCAATCTGTTTCAGCTCTTTGGCTTACATTACATGCAATCTGTTTAAGCTCTTTGGCTTACATTACATGCGATCTGTTTCAGCTCTTTGTTTTACATTACATGCGATCTGTTTCAGCTCTTTGGCTTACACGACAAGAAACCCGTTTGAGCTATTTGACTTGCACAAGAAGCAATTAACCTTTTTTTATATTTATTTTTTTGTAGAAGCAATTAACCTAATTGAACAATTAACTTTAACTTTCACAGTGCGCTGAAAAGTTGAATAAGTTACCAAGGTTACCATGGTCTCCAGTACTTAAGAATGAATGTAGGTAGACTATGCAAGAATTTTAATACAATCTTTTCCAAAAGTTGCTAGAATGTATTTCTCACCTTTGTATGCTTCAGTTCAATGTGTTTACAAGTTTGAGCTAAAAATAAAAGTGGCGTGACCTTGACATACACGAAAACAACGAAACGGTAAATACAACCTTTGTTTTTCTGGCAATTAAATTGTGCAGTCCTTTCTTTCTTTACAGTGCAGTTTAGTGGTTATATCTTCGTTATTTTCTCACAATTTTCATATATCTTTCTCTGTATGATACAGATATCTTAAAAGAAGCACATGATTTTGACTCATTATGTAACTTTAAGAGACAATCATTTTCCCATTCGCTAAAGAGAAAGGTTGTATAAAATGATCAAGGACTTTATACGTATACGCAGCGAGGCTAAGTTGAAGCTATGTTGAACAATAATTATTGTGAGAGGGCAAAAGTAGAATAAAGTGTTTTTGAATAAAAGACAGACTGAAGTACTTCTGTTATCAGACAATTGAAAATAAAACTCTACTGTAGAATTAGATTATTTGACAGAGACAAATTAAGGGAATTAAACATTTTGTCTTTTCCAAATACATATATACAGGTATATACATTCAAGCTTAGGTCCATTCTGCTATAAGAATCAAAGCGAATGTATTCTTATGATAAAATTCATAACTCATTCTCTCGTTTTTGAAATATGAATTATTTCGGAGGAATACTTTCAGCAGTCCGACAATCAGCCAAATATCTGAAAACCTTCACGTTTCCAGAATGATATTCCCCAATCCAAAGATTTTCATTTTTGTCAATGTCAAGATCAGATGGTATATTCATCATAGATTGTCCAAGACAACGAAGAAATGCCCCGTCTTCGTCCAAAATATGAACACAACTGTTCATGGCGTCTGTAACTAAAATTTGTCCAAAACTGTCAGTGACTACAGATGTTGGTTTAAAGAAAAACGTTTGGGATATTTGATTCCCGCTATAAATAAATCTCAGAGTCCCAGACTTATTCACAACTACCAGACCTTTGGCACCGCCGTTGACTACACAAATATCTTCGTTTCTGTTCTCCACTATGGCCTGGGGTATGAAGAACAACAGCTCTCCTTGGTCATCGAATTGTATCTTCTGTTTCGGCCTCGTTTTCACGAGGCGGACAACCCGAGCGTTCTTCTTATCTGAAGTAATCATGCTGACTAAAATGTGACCAAGCCTGTTGACAAAGAGTGAGGTGGGTTTCCAGTTTTTCCAAACGGTCACCACTTCCCTTTTACCCTTGTTCCACATTACGACGCTGTTTTCTCCCATGTCACAGAAAAGTATGTTGCCTTGGCCATCCACGTGAATATCGCTTGGCGAATACCCGTCAATCAGGTGTAAAGTGTCCAGTTTTTCGCCTTTGATGCTGAATTTCGTCATAGTTCCGCAGACTTTACCTACCACCCAAATTTCATCATTACCAGCACAGGCGATTGTCTGAATTTCTTCATATCCAGAATCAAATGTGCTCAATAACATAAGCTCGCTTAAAAATCTTTTCTCGATTGTTCTGTCCCTGTTTTGTAAGGTAGAGATTTTATAACCATGTAATGTTGATAGTCGATTCCCGAATTCAAATTCGCCGAGGAGAGCCTCGATTGGGTAAGGACTTTGACTCGGTGAGTATTTCGGAGGGGATATTTCAACCATGGAAGGGATTTCTCGGAATTGGTTTTCAGTAAATATACATGATAAAACATCTGAAACATTTCTTCCGGACAAAGCAGCCTTGTAACCGGAAATGGTATCTTTTGCTTCTTGGTTCCTTTTTGAAAACCTTTCCAGTTGCGATCGCAGCTCTCCCAAGTCACCCTCCTTCGAATTCTTTAACAAAGTTTTCTTTTCTTCAAATTTCTTATTTATTTCAAGGTGAAGTTTTTCAACTTCCCTCATTAATGAAGAAGTAACAGTTTCGTAATCTTGTGATAACTGTGTCATTTTGGAATTCAATGAATTCTCCATCTTATCACACTCAGGAATAACAAACGTTTCAAGCGCCATTGTTTCTTGAGAAAGAAACTCTCTTCTTGACAAATATTCGTCCATAATATCAATAATTTCATGTTGTTTATGTTCTGAAGAAACAACGCATTTGCTACAAGTAGGAATGCCACAGTTCTTACAATAGATATCACATTTTTGGTGCTGATGGCGATTGCAATCTGGGAGTATGACGTCACTTTCCCTGTATTTGAACCCCACTACGTCATGTTTCTTTGACATTAGAGAGGACACGTGTTTGCCAACACATTCACTGCAGAGTTTAATATGGCAGGAATTACAATGCATTAAAACAGGTTCGTCCTCACACAAGTCACACGTTAAAACCGCCTGGGCCATTTTGATGAAGTTCAACGCACCGTACCCGAACCGGCAAAAGAAAATAATCCTTAAGCCTACAGTCTGCAAGGAGATGCACTTATTTCTTGTTTTGTTTATTTGTTTGTTTCAATGATGCTACACAGCAATAAGGCTATTTCCGTAAAATTTCTTCATGATCTCTGCAGAGAAAAAGATATCAACATTGAATTTTCACATCCTAGTCACATACACACAGCAGAGCTGACAATTTTGCACATATCTGGAAAAAAATCAGACCTGCGTAATGTATTGTATCTTATCATATGAGTTAAAAATAAGCATTTAAACAAAGCTATGGTATGAATGAAATTATTCACCCGACGTTTTGTTTTGTTGACCCTCCAATTGCCTTGCTATGCCTGACTATTATCTTTCTGGTCTCGGTTGAGTGAAGTAGATGTGATGCTACACAGACACACAGCATTCCTTTGCTCTGACATGGATTGATAAACGAAGTAAAACTATTTTTATATCCACAAACCAAGGTCAACATCTTACTTTAAAATACTCTCAAGAATTGAATGACTACAGGAGAGGTGCAGGGGGAAACAGGATATTGTGTTTTAATTGTTTATAACGTCGTATATACATATTTTTCAATATACTTGTAGTATTATAACATGAAACGGTCACCCATCGAAGGCAACTTGCGCGTATATAAATCAAGTAAGACTCTACCGCATGACCAGGGGGTAGTTTAAGGGCAGATGATACAAAGAAAACCTTTTTTCTTAAAAAAAAAAAAAAAAAAGAAACTAAGGCCTTGTTTATACAATTAAAATGAAAAAGTATAACTAAACAGTAAATTTTAATTAATTGGCCATTAAAAGTTTTACAACAATGCTAAACAAGATGTGTTTGTGAAACACTATGCGCCCGATGGCAACAAAAATCGAAAAAGCTATTTCTAGCATAGGTAACAGTCAAGGTCACAAGGTCATTGACCTTGGTGTCATTTGAAAGACCTTGATTAGTGGAGTATGTACACCAAATATGAAGTCTCTATCTTTTATGGTTCAAAAGTTATGGTGAAAGGTACGAAAAAGGTATTTTTAGCATATAGGTCACAGTCAAGGTCACCAGGTCATTGACCTTGGTGTCATTTGAAAGAACTTTATTAGTGTAGTATGCATACTAAATATGAAGTCTCTATCTTTCATGATTCAAAAGTTATGGCGAAGGTTAAAGTTTGCAGACAGAAAAGCTATTTTTAGCATATAGGTCACATTCAAGGTCACAAGGTCATTAATATTGGTGTCATTTGAAAGCACCCAATTAGTGAAGTATGCGTACCAAATATGAAGTTTCTACCTTTCATGGTTCAAAAGTTATGGCGAAGGTTAAACTTTGGGGACAAACAAACAAACAAACAAACAGAGAGACAGACAGACAGACAGACAGACAGGACAAAAACAATATACGCCTCGGATCTATCGATCCGGGCGCATAAAAATATGTACACTGTATATGTAGTAGATTTATAAGTGTGGTTTCAGATATAAGAAGATTGAACATGCATCGTAAAAGTTCAAAAATTCTTAATATTTTAGGAATGCCATATATGCATCATTTACAACAAAAAATCGTTCCAAATATAAATAAAAATCCATTCATTCGATCATTTTTTGGGGGGGTATCATTTGTCCTTAAGTTCGCTATAGATATCGAATTACATAACTTATTTTCCCTGATTACTAATTCGTTCTCTCGATTTGTAATTCGAGATCTCGAAATAAACAATCTGATTCCACTGATTATCAAATGGGTCTCACGATTTAGACAATCTGTTTGTTTTGTTTATGCTTTTTTTTATTTCAATTACATATGCATATGATATACATGTATAACGGCTTGGAAAATCCATTCCTTTGTATCAATTAATGCATTCTAAATATTTATACCTCACGCTTGAAAAGTGGATGGGTACATAGTGATCTGGATGTCCGTCCATCTTGTCGTCCGTCCACTTGTTACACTTTGGGGTACCTATCTCTTATCCGCAACTCCTCTTATACTTTCACTGAATTTTATTACACAAAGTGCCATTGTGACCTCGTATTTTACCTTTTGATCAAACACATATTTCGGGTTTCCCAGAGCAAAACGTTTTATGAATCTTGCCATTGTATAGGAGACGGGGGTATCATAAATTATAGTGAACCCTGTGCTCACACATCGTCTCAAGCCACGGTCCGGAGTCCGCAGAGCTCTCTCCAGAATGGGAGAGGATCGTACATTTTGGCCGTGGTTTGTGACGATGGTGCTCACAGTACCTATAGTTTTGTTTTACACTAATTAGTTATTTCAAAAACAATTTTCTTTTAAACACTACCTTGTAGTATATGAGTAAATTAAAGGGCGAAGAAGGATGGGGTGTTTACGAATACTTAGTACTCACTTCTTTAAGCAATGAACAAGCTTCAGCTTAGGTTGACATACGTGCTTTTAAATGCAAAAGCAAATTTTCTATTTTGTGGTCATATTTGCAGAAGTACAGTGATCGCTTTGAGCAGTATTTTCTATAAACAAATTTGTGGAGATGTAGAACTGTAAGAGACAATAAGATGGGGATCGATTGAGATTGAGGCCATTGAGTTATGATTTTCGCTAATAAACAATCGTCATCACATCATCATCATCATCATCATCATATTGTCATCGTCATCACACATTATCATCATATCATCAGCTCATCAACATTACATCATCAATCTGTTATCATTCTATCGTCATCTCATCAACAATCAATTTTTCATATTATTAATTTTTTTTTCATATTTTTGAAGTACATATCATTTTATTAAGGATTTTATTCTTTTTCTCTCTCATTTAATTATCACGTTTTATTAATGGCACATACATTCTAATTTATATTTATATTAATTTTATTATTCTCATCTTCATTTTGAACATTGATTCATGTAAATAAACTCATTCATCATCTTCAGATTTGTAGGTTTTGTTTCTTAATTTCTAAAACAAGGTAAATTATTTACAAAGAAGTTGCTTAATTAAGATGGTGGATACAATTTCCTTGTCAACAAATACATTTATCATTAGGTCAAATACTGACTGACATTTTTCGTACTAATTGTTATGCCATAAATATACGCACTGAATTGGCGACTGTTTTTTTTTTGGATTATGACAAGGAGCACACGGCGGGTGTGACCGGTCAGCAGGGGATGCTCACTATTTCATGGCATCTGATCCCACATCTGATGTTTTAGAGGTCCGTGTTTGCTCTGCTCCAGTTTCGTATTCTTTAATGGATTTTTGAGCTTGAATACTGTTCGTTTTCTCCATATTTTTCATTTCCATGATAAAAATTTGGCCTTCAGAGACAAAAAGCTAAGATGGTCATCTTAATTTGAACGAAAGTTAAATGTAAGGTCATTTTTTAAATAAATTGTTTGGTTGCCCTCTCCTGATGACCGACTGACTAAAAAGAGAGTTTGTATGATTCGCGATTAAGGTTTACGTTTACACTATTTTAGAATCCTCATATCTCTTTCACAGATTCGTAGTCAACAGATACTAGTAATTATATTCTCCCTCACTTTGTTCTGATGAATATAAAACAATTATATTCTAAGCATGAAATACATGTAATAAGATAAAAACTTTTGCATTACATAATAGTTACGATTCATGTAAATGACTGTTTCATTTATGTTCTAAATTCACCAGTTCAAACGAACATAAATTATTTATAAATAAAAACTCAAAACACCAATATATAGGATGAGCTCGCATGCGCGAGTGCAACAGCTTTTTAATTTTACAATCGTTATAACATTAAATAAATCTTCGTCACATACAAGTAATCATCCCGTTCTACAAAAGAGAAACGATAAGTTAATGAACACATTCATGAAAAGAAAAACCATACAAAATAATATACTTGGGGAGGGGTGGGGTGGGGGGTCTGTTACACTTAAGGCAGCGAAACTTCGAATGACTTAAAAAACCCTTAATACAACCCAATACGACGTATACATGCCTAGCATGATTTTAACCTACAGAACCGCGAATCTTAAACCAATCGATCTTCGATACAGCCACGCCCCCAAATTCCGTAAACAAACCAACGTGTTTACCGTAACTTTTATAAATATATTAATCAATTGCAAAACAATCAGAAACATAAACGCATAAAATACCAAATACCTAATGTTCATTTATACCTTTTTAAATATACGTGTACAACCGTGGGTTATAGCGATATACTCGATAATCGAACATGAATGAGCGAGGATATATATAGTACATGATCACGTGATGAAATTTGAATGCAACAAAATGGATTGCGAGTTCTAGCTTTAAGACTTCTTAAGGTATTCAATGTGTAACGACGATATTTTGTACCTAATAAACGGATGGTCTGATATTTTGAATCATGGTAGCATTTTGAAGATATTATCGAATAAAAATGCTCCACCAAAGGAATTTACAAAATTTTGATCATTGCCCACTTAATTTCATCCTGCATTTTACATTGAAGTCTATGGGCAGCACATGTTTTATAAGATATTGTAAAAAGTAATTTGAATTTCAAACAAATCTCTTGGTGAAAATATGCATAAACCCCGTTTTCATTAATTTATGAAATAAAATGAATTATTTACCACAGAAATTATGAGAATTCAAAAATTTTCTTCTTTTCATCAAGGGCAGATAACTCTTCAACAACTTTTAATGTGCAAAATGACCGTCTCCTTACATGTTATCAGTCATGTGAATTTGGTTCATTTCACTTTTATCGTTATGTAGCAATATGCTTTTAATTAGTTTAAAATTATTTAAAATCGTTCAAAATCCCTTCGTTATACATTGAATACCGCACCGTCAGACGGGTATATGATTTCGTTACACCCGATTGCACACTCGAAACTCGTGTCCGACTTGTAGTACTCCTGTCGTGGTCTTAGATTTTTTGCGTTTATTTCTTGTTTTTATGTGCATTTTCTGTTTAAGAAATAATGTTGCAGAATAACCTCCGAGTTCGGAAAATGTTGTTTGAAAGATAAGAGCCGAGGCGTTAGCCAAGGCTTTTATATATCAAACAACATTTCGAGACCGAGGAGGTTATTCTGCATCATTCACGACAACAAGACTTTATTTCTATTCTACTACAGCTGTAAAATACAACTGATCGTTTCTCTACTGAGAAAGGAATTAGGTCACCATGCTGCGGTAACGCTGTTCCATTTAGCACCAGAGTGAAAATTTGTTTGTTTACCTGTGAATAGAATGCAGACGATGTGTGCTTTCGCTGCATTAAAATTAGCCTTTTATTAATTATAAATCTGTTTGTAGCTTAATATATAGATTAATCTTTTGAATATACGAAACAAAATCAGTTTCCTATTTTACCACTTTATCACTAAAATCACGGAGTTTAAATATGGCGTAGGGAGGTTTGTGAAACAGCCCCGCTTGGCTTTAGAAACCTGCATTCATCATCTACTTTCTGCAATATCAATGTTTAAATTGCAAAAGACGACACATCGATG